TTTTTTTACTTTTAACTAAAATGGTTCATGATTTTAAAATGTCATTCATATTAAACAATGCCAAAATTGAATTCTGCTTTCACTTTATTGTAAAGATGTCTCATGACGTATGTTCCACATGTTCCTCAAAATTCCTCTGAAAACTAAGTAGGATTGAATTAATGATAACAATACTACTAGTAATATGTTGCATTCATTTATTATTCTAACATAAAAATATTTAAATGACATATTTTTGTACAGTATTTTCATTTTTTTGAAAAGCAGTAGTTCAAATGATACAAATTAACTTTTTTTAATAACAGCTATTGACGACAAAAAATTCAATCAATTTTAAGCTATTGTGCCTGTCTTTCATTGAATTCAATTTCAAAGCAACACTCGAACAAATATATTTTTCTAACTTATTTCAATAAAAATTCACTCTTCAAAATAGAAACATTAGCATGTAAAACTCGAGTTAAAGAGACACGTTCAAAATTCACTAATAATATCAATCTTTGTTGAAGGTTTATATTCAATTTTCCAGTTTTATGATGTCACAGATTAATGTTTATATAAATACAAAATTAACAAATTAACGCATAAATATAAATAATTTGATACGTATATATAAATATATGAATATATAAATATATAGTTATATATATATATATATAGTTATATATAATATATATATATATTATATAAATATATGCATATGTATAAATATTATTATTATATATATATATATGTATAATGTATATATATAATAAAATTTCATATAATTTTGTACTTCAACATGCTTCAAGTTATTTCAATCAACAAACCATTAATTCTCACATTTATAAATTGTCATTTTTATAATAAAATAACAAACAACAAATTTTTCAGAAATTATTTTATATTCTACACCAACATTTTATATTAAAAATTATGTCATAAACATAAAAAATATATGTAAAAATATGTATGTATATATATAATAAATATATGTTTCTACATAAGCTAGAAAGAGACCATAATTGATGCAATATTTGATAAAATCTACCGAATTTCTAGCTTTTGAAAGTTTACGGTTGAGCTTTCAAAATTTCTAGCAGTAATTTTATAATTATTATTGATTTTACCCATCTTCAGCACTTATATAGGGGTATTTCAAAGTTTCACAATTTTCAGTGTCGGCAAAGTGCTTTAATTCTGCTTTGTCCCGTCCGTTCATTCTATCTTTGTCCGGTTCATTCTCTTTGTTTGTAAAATCTTTCAATAATATTTACCTGGTCGGTAATGATGTTGCTATTCTTTGCTGCTTGTCGTTTTAGCCATTATTAGATGGCTGTGGTTCTTGTAACCGTATATTACACTAGCATTGTTTACTAGCATCTTTCGTCATGAGATCGTTTGATGTATAGTTTCCAGGTGAGCTCTAATGGCTCCTTTTCTTTTGTGCATAGAAACTGTAGAAGTCTCAAAAATACTAAGTGTCTAAGTATTCCTTTTTTGAGGGACTTTGTTACTGTGCCTTCATTTAGTGAATTTGTTTGAATTCTAACTTTTTTGGTCGGTAGAACTCCAGTAGCGTGTCAAACCCTATATAAACCGACACATAAAACACAATCCATAATCAGCACCGACAAATGATTGTCGAACATGAATTTATGTTAGAATGTACATAAATATATAAACAAAAATGCAATAAATGAATAAAAATTTTGTTTAAGAATTTAACAAACTTGATAATGAACTGAAATTTGTCGTACGAAAATTGAAAAACTCAACTGCAAATTGAACAACGCATGCAATGCTGTGATATTTTTAAACAATTGCCTTATATATATATATATATATATATATATATATATATATATATATATATATATATATATATATGGGACATGGAAAATATAACAGCGTGGGAAATTATGTCCTTGAAAGAAAGTTCAGCAGTTAAACGGTTAATAATATTGTGCATAATGTCCGTTATATATGCCCTAGGTTGATAGACGATGGTCAGATTTATAAACAAAATCAAAAATTTTTAAAATATCTATTTTATTTGAAACAAACAAAAATCGGTGATTGTGATAAATTAAAAAATTAAACAAAATTATATTTTTTCACGCACTTGTAACTTGTGTAAACTGAAGAAACATTAATGAAAGAAAAGAACACATCTGCTCCATTTTTGGCAGATAAAAAATGTTTAAAAACATTTTCAACATCAACAAAATATAACAATTAACTTTTTAAATTCAATAAATTAACGAATGAATAAGAAATAACGAAACGAATACTATCTAACCACATAAACAACGCAATGTTATTTGACGAATCTGTTTAATTGGAAAGTGAAAATTGAAATGTGAAAACGTACGGAACTTAGGATATACTGTACTATTAGCGACCAAACTTGGAGAACACTTACGTGGATATGATTCATATACTTGTATTAATTTTTTCACAAATAAAATTTTTGTAATTTTATTTCTAATTATCTAATATTTTTTTGGTTCGTAAAATACTTTTTAGAATTTTCCATTGTCAAATATTTAATTATCATTGAGTAACATTAAAAGGTAGAGTTTAACTCTCTCGAGATAGTTTAATAAACAGAAAGGAACGGAACTGAGAATATAAGAAAATTTCACGTGGATTATTTACGAAAATAACAAAAACAAACGCCATGCACCTCAATCTTGACATGTTTAATGCCACTCGTGGATAACTACATACCTGAAAATAAAATACGAAAATGTATTTAAAAAAGTTAACACAAAAATTAAGATAGCCATAAGTATAAGTACATTAACCATTTAATATGAAAAATTAGCGTAAGTAGATAGGATATAAAAACTACCGTTCAAAACGAATATTAAATTTTCAATCGGCAAACATTCGACAAACAGACCGCGCCATAAAACTTGATTGTGTTTTTACAAGCGTGAAAATTGTTTATTTGCTTGCACTTTGATGCTCCTTCTTTTATCGACCTGAAGAAAAAATTATGAAAGCCAATCTTGCGTTCCTCACGATTTTTTATCGCCACGTTTCCGCGCACCAAACTCACAGAGATTCTAATTCATTTCATTCAAAAACTAGACGATTTATTTTAGAAATTTATAATTTAATAAATTTTGTAAACAAATAAATTAGCCACAGGAATTTCAGCCGTATAATTTTATGTGCCTAATTTTTCCAGTTGCACGGTTTTTGAAATTTCGCCCAGGAAATGGCTAGCTACAACCGTTATCAATTATTTTCAGCTTTCAAATTTTGGCCAAATATAATTTTTATCTCTATAATTCATTTTTTAATTATTTGAAATAAAATGAAATGTTGATCGTGGTATTACTATTTATGACTTTTTCGCGAAACCAAATAAAAAATTTATTTAAATTTTAAAATATATGTTAACCATAAGTATGGTCCATTAATTAATAAGCCATGAATTAATTTTCAAAATCCCCTAAAGCATACCTATAGATTCGAAAATTAATTTCCGTTAATGAATGAATGAAGACCAAAGAAGGAATGAAGAAGAGTCAGATGGGAAGCTTCTGTACGGGAAACAACAGAATACAAATTTATGCGCACCTGACCTCACGAGTTTTTGCACATTAATGCATCATATGCACTAGATAAACATAATTTTTTTAAATATTTGATTACAAACTATACAGAATTTTATGTAGAATTGGAAGAGAAGTCATTTTGACATTGAACTGTTTGTGAGCATTTCAAACGTGGCGCTATTTGATGTGATTATATTTTTGACGACGTTTCTTTCTCGAGTGTATGATCTCTTTTGAAAGTTGTCGTGATGTACAATCTATATCCTATTTTAATAATTTTAGAGTCGTCTTTCAAATTTTTAAATAAAAAACTAAATTGTACATGAATGAACAAACGAACGAACCTCAAACGAATTAATGAATAGTTGAACAGACCAACAAATGGTTGAATTAAAAATTATACATCAGAAGCAAATCACAGGTGCAACCGAACGAAAGGATGTTTTGAGGATCACTCAAATAAATCAATGTAAAGCCCATTTATGTTTTAAGAATTAATTTATCGTTGGTCGTTAAGAAAAATAAAAATGCATAATTGTTTAATAACAGAAAAACATTTTAATCATTTAAAAAATTCATCCATTTTGTTCATGATTATTTCAATAGTTTTACAGTAAAAATTTATTAGGTTGGATGAATTGATTTATAATTAAAAAAAATTACCACAAAAAAAAAATTTAATTCAACCGGAAGCCCAATCAGACGACAACCACTTAGTAATATCAGTTGAAGAATTCGTCAAAAAATGCTAACAAATCAAAATAATTCAAGTTAAATTAATTTCACGGAACAATGAAACTGTTAGATGCTAATAAATACGTGATGAAAAAGATGAGATATTTGAAGAAACAAAAACAGCACAAAGACAACACTACCTCACATAAACAATATCACCAAGTTATTTTTACTGTACCAACAATTGTACATGTATTCGAACGATATATATATATATATATATATTTTGGTCTTTTACCAGCACATATATATATATATACAATACATATACAATATACAATACATATATATATATATATATAATATACATATATAATATATATATATATAATATACATACATATATATATATATAATATACAATATAATATACAATTTTAAATAAAAATGTCTTATACAGATAAAGAACAATGTCTTTATTAGTGGTTTAAAAATAGTTGTTAAAATTGACGTAGCAGAGTTTTTGCAGCATTGTCAGCAGAGAAAATAATTTCATGTTCAAGTAAATAGTTCATAACATCGTATTAAGAAAATTCTTTAAAAACCTTGTCGGGAAATATTTTCCAACTTACCTGCAGTGCAGCAGGCGTGTAGATAGGTAGCGGATGGTATTGTAGATACACACTCCAACACACCACAGTAATTAACAGTTGTTTCAAATGTTTAATTATATTTTCGGCTGTTTTGAAGCACTTGTCTGCAAATGCTTTGCCTTTAATTACTAACAAATTCTTCATCATAATCGGCGTTGAAGCCATTTTGTCGGATATCAGCCACTATTACATTAGTGTCATCGTCGCCGATGTTGGACCTGTTGTCAGGCGTTACATTAAGGACAACATTATCGACATTAACATTAATATTTTTGATGTTATTATTAGCATTAATGTTGTTTTTGTTGTTGTTGTTGTTGATGTTATTTCTATTGATGTTGGTGTTAACAGCATCACTGGGGGCGGTTCTCGAAGTAGCATTCTTCCTGAGCACAAGCATTGGGTTTCTCGGTGTGGACCTGTTACACGTCAGCACACGTTTGAATGCCTTCCTGAACTTGCCTGTTGAGCATCATTTAATTTACAATTTCTGTGATTAATTAATTAATTGAATTAAATTAAGTTAATAATAAATTTGTAAGAAATGTTCATTTCAATTAAGTATATAAAACTCTAGTTTCGCAAAAACATGAGCCGATCGTTGAATTTAAGCGCACAAGCCCGTAAGATTAAAATTTATTTTCAGCTTCGTTGTTTATTAATGTTTTAAAAAAATCCAACAACATTTATTGGGTTAAAAAAGACGGGCAATCTTTTTAAAATGTTCACTTTGGAAACTCGGGAAGAGACATAAATAGATTAAGTGCACGTTTTTTAAGAATATTTTTGTTTTGAAAAAATTGAAAAAAGTTTTAGAATTCACGGAATATTTGAAAAATTTTCAAGTTGACTCAATTTAAAAATAATTAAATAACACGTCTTTGTTCTCTTATGAATTTAATTTTGTTAAAAAACTTTCAAATCGAAGGTATATGTCACGTTTGTAGTTTGTTGTAGCAGTATTTTTACAAAATGAAATTTATTAATTGCGCAAAGAGTTGAAACAATAATTGGAAAAATTCAACAAAAGCGCACTGATCACATTCTTATTTTCATACGAAAATGTATTTCTTACCACTCATGAAGTTGTAGATGAGGGGGTTGACGCAACTGTTGAAGTAGCAGAGCCACTGGGCCACCATTGGAAGTTCAGATCTGTTCAGAATCACAGAACTTCTCATAGCGTATCTGTGCAATGTAAAAAATTGACGAATTATTTTATTGGATATCAGTAGGAATTGTGGTATTTACGTTAACATTCTATGCAATAATGCTCTTTTGGAAATATTTAAAACTATCAAAATTTCAAGATTTGGAAAATTGTAAAACGCGGAGTTATAAACATTAATACCAAATGTCAATTAGTTAACTGTAAGTCAACCTGAGAATATTGTAGACTTGAATTGGCAAGTAGCAAACGAAGAACATGACGACGACGCTGATGAGCATCTTCGCTACTTTTCTTCTCGACATCAGCTGGTTTTTGGAACTGCTGTTCATGCAGTGCGTTCCTATGCTGCGGTGGCTTGCGTCACAGGAAGAATTGTCATTAGCGTTTTTAGCGCAGTTTTTGTTGTTCATTTTGCCGTGGATGTTGTTGTTGGTTGATGTGTTGTGAGTTGATGCTACCGTAGCCGCAAAGTTGGCTGGTTTGAATTGTTGTGAGCGTGATGTTGCATCAATGTTGCTTGTTTCATACGATGTACTAAAATCTGTCGGCAATTTTTAATTTTTTAAATATTAATAAATTCATAACTAACTAATTTTACATAAGAATAAAAACAATTTATATTTGGTTAGCTTGGTTTTTATAAATATTTTACTCAAATTACAATGAAGTTACCATGTCAAAACTACAATCGACTAAATCAATCAAAAATAAGCCTGATTAACAAGTATTCAAACTTATATATCCGCATATGATTGCAATCCCAGAAAACAGACTGGTGAAACAAACGCATCAAGCATATAAACAAAATTCAGAACTTATATAAAGGAGATGAATATATGTAGTGACAATAATTTCCATGAGCTGTTGAAACGTAAAATTACGACACACGAATAATTATGCCATCATCGTGCGTAGGCAACACATAGAGGATAACATTTCTTCGCGATTGAAAGTAAATTGAGAGAAAGATAGAATGGTTTACTACCGGTTAATTAGGCTCTGACACTGAAAAAACAGAAATGAATTGTATTTGCGACCAAATAAAGTCCAATGAACCTCCTTTTTTCTTATTAACATAAAGTTCAATTTACTTTTAGAAACAATATTATTATTTTTAATTACTAATGTTCACATTAAAATCTAAAATTTATTTACTAATTAGAAAATATTTCAACTTATAATTTTTATTAAGTATATAAAGTCCAATTTCAGCGCATCATTAGTGATTTACAGTGCAGTTTATAAAATATGAACAGTAAAAATACACCGTCAAGCTAAATATATGTGTACTGAATTTTGGCATAGTATAAAGACCTTAATACAAACATCCTTGACCTACACCTTTTAAATAGAGTGGAGTTTGGGTACATAGTTAATGTGTTTTAACTACGTTCAACCATGTCTAACTATGTTTTAATGCTTATGTTTGCATTTTAATGTGTTGTGTTGTATGTTTGTAAGCCAAAAGATATTAGTTTAAACTTTTTTACTCCTAAATCTGATGAAAATTAATCTTTCATTCAGCAATGAGCAGTGATGAATGGATGCATCAATCATTTGGCTCATTTTGAATGTTATATACGTTCAATTTTTCAAATTTTTCTAATTAGACTATTTTCAAATTTTAAAAGATTGTTCAAAAAATTAGTTATCCAAGTTAATTTACAGATGGCTCAATTAATCTGATAAAATATTTAACAACCAAAAACCAAGAGAACTTTTCGTAAATTAACAAAAGCTAAAAATTTATTCAGTTTGTTTTCTGATTTTTCAAATAATTTTTTATTTAAATTTTTATTGTTCACATATATGAACAAATTCAAACTATCCACCAAAAAAACAGACGTTATAACTAAAATGAAAATTAAGTCAGAATGCCAAAAACCTTTCCCGGTGGAATGTTCGTTAGGATTGTTCAGTGCATCTTGCTGAGTCAGTTTTGAAGATTTCTTGAAAATGATCTTGTTCAAGTTTGGTTTCCAACTCAGCTTAGGAGAATTCTTTGAAAAACATGACGTTGTTTTGCTGTTGCAGTCTGCACCACCGATAGTGTTTGTAATGTCGTAGTTATCCATCTTGTTGACGTTGTTGGTGGTGATGATGTTGTTATTAATGTTGTGTTCTTGATGAAATGATGACGTCATTATGCTGTTCCTCGTAATTTCCGGCATCCTGTCATTGTAATCGTTCTCATATTTTTCTGACGCACATTTGGACAACAAGCGGCAGCGCTGCTTCGATGATTTCGTCTCCTTCTGCTTCATTTCCAATGAGCACTCAATCCCATCCGTTCCTCTCCACAGGTTCAACGCTATTTTCACGTAGGCAATTCCAATCAAGAACAATGGCAGAAGAAATAAAAAAATGAGGATGATGGTTTGAAAGATGGCACGCAGTCTTTCACTTATAATCGAAGCACAGGCCATGAACAAATGGGTTTCTAGTTTTGTTGTTCTGAAAGTGTCAACCGTAATGTATTCTGGCATAGCCACAATTATAGAGACAATCCAGATGAGAAGAATGAACAGTTTCGTTCGTTTGATGGTTGCCTGGAACTTCAGTGGATGGCAAATGGCGTAATATCTTTCCACGGCGATGGCGCTCAGTGTTAAGACTGATACTGAGATTGACATGAGCTGTGTAATGGAAAAAGTTTTGTGTTGGGCGTTAAAGACGTAATGCTGAAATGTTGAACGTTTTGTGCATTATATCTTAATCTTAATAATATATGTTTGTGTGACGTTTAACTGTAAAATTGTTCAGTGAGATCAAAAGAAGTTTTCATTCGATTTTGTGCATTGCTAAAAAAGATTAAAAAAAATCAACATAAAAATAAATTAATACTTAAAGATTCGAAACCAATTTTATAAAATTCATTTTCAGAATTTCGTTTGAAAAAGTTTTGCTGTTAATAAATAATAAAATCTGAATAAAGATCCGATATATTATTCATAATACTATATTTTTAGATTTAAATTTTATATTTTTGATATATTATATAATTCCCTATGTATTATTTAAAATTTAAAATGGAAAGTTGAAGAAAACAAATGGCCGCTCAATGTTACGGAGTAAGTAAGCCTTGTTGGAACAAACCGGATGTCCGCCCGCGCCACTATTCGATTTTTTTTTCGAATTTTCTCCAGAAAATAAATTTTATTTTTGTTGTTTTTATCTTAAATTTATTTATTTTTAAAATGATTGTGAAAAAACATTTCAGATTAAAGTTTTAAAATCTGATCAGCAAGTTTTTCAAATATTAAAATTATTTAAATTTATTAACCGCTAGAACAATTTTTTAAATTGTTTTCTATCACTGTTTTTACGATAGCGATAAACGAGCAATCTGATGTAGAAACGAGGCGATGATAAATTGATGTGTCCTGTTGGTTGAGCGACGGTTCAGTTGCAAGTTGCATGCAGAGGCAGGCATGTCCGCTACGTTCTTTCGCTGGCTTTCATTAATTTCATTCATGTTCGTCATCATCAATTTGTTTTTTATATGTATTTTAATTACACATTCCCGCAGAGATTTTATTCTTACACACTTTCGACACATTTTTTAGGAAAAATCAAATTTTCAATTCAACTGACTGAAGCGAAAAACGAACCAAACTGAAAAATAATTTCATTTCATATAAAAAAAAATTAAAAATTTTGTACGGGAACATTGAAATTGAATCAAATTCTTTATTGACTATATGTGTTATCACGTGCAAAAATTTCAACCATTAGTTTAAAAAAGATATGAAAATCCATCCAGCCTTTGCCACAAATGAATTGAAAGGAAACAACGCAGCCTGCCGACGATGCATTTGTTTAACGATGCAGCTCGCAAGCGGACAGAAACAAAAACATTTGATGGAGGCCCCCGTCTAATAATTCACTGCAATATTCATGAATGCCTCTCAACAGAACTCCCGCAAATAGTACATTGTCAAAAGCACGAATTAATGAATGAAAATAAACGTCAGCATGCTACGTGTAACACAATAGCATTGAAACAGCGTTGTCTAGATCAGCCGCCGCGACTGCAGTGTGCTACAACAACGTAATTTATAATCATTTATTTCTCAAATTGAAATGGATATGGAAATAATGAAATCAAAACTTTAAATTAACAATTTCCAGCTCAGGTTTCGAAATTTCGCTTTTCCTAGGCTTTCGCTCGTTGTTAAGTTAAGATTCCCTTTTTAAACAACAACTTCGTGATTTTAGCATTCGTTTAAAATGGTGATTTTCCCTAAAAGCATCTATGATATTTTGGCGAGCAAGAGTTGCTCCAGCATACAAAGCACAGCGTTTTTTTTAACGAATGACTTTGTGTCTCACGCGCTTCTTCTCAACAACAAAAGTTGAAAGAGTTGCGATATGTGATTTATGTCCTTAGAAGTGATATCATCTTTCCATGAATTGTTTTCGCCAACTACGTGTTGTAGTTTACGGTTGGTGGCATCTTCAGCGGTTGCTGTTTTGTAGTTGCTTACTAATAAATTGGTAATTTTTTTCACCTGTGGTCATTTATTGAAGGTAAATGCGTGAAAGCCTCTCTTCACAAAGGCTTTTATTATGCCTCGTTTGTATTGTTCAGTGCAATTATTTTTCCATTTTAGACACCTACCTTTGTTTGTTAACGTAAATTGAAGTTTTGAAACAACTCAATTATAGGCGCGTATGCACCCCGGATCCGGATTCGAATCCCTACGAAACCATCACTCGGATATGAATCTGGGTGCAAAAAATATATTTATTTAAGCACTCTCAAAAGTAATCCAGACGAGAAGGCTTTCAATTTTGAATAGGAACTTAAAAATTTCATACCGATATCTGTAATAATTATGACGCCCATTAGTACGGAGCTGCTTTTTGATTCTTCGATTTGGGAAGCCCATTCCTAATATTAGGTGCTCATATGGCCAACTGAATATTTGTGTCTAGAAAACGATTAGTAGTTTGATATTTAACAGCTGTAAACAGAATGTTGGGTTAATTATTTCATTATGTTTTTTTCATTCATTTCATTATTTTTTTTATTCCTGTTAATAAAACTCTGCTATCAACTTTTCATTTCTATGCAGTTACAAAGTACGCCAGGTCGGTTAGTTTTTTTATTAAAATTTATCCTAGCTATTTTTCTAATTCTGAACACTACTTTTGAAAAATTTGATTTTTTTGTATTTAATTAATTAATTTATTGTATGTATGTATGCACTTTCAAGAGAGTGTTATGTAATTTCAAAAATTGGAAAGTTAATTGCAAGAAATTTTAATATACGAACCTGCAAAGTGACAAGCATCTTGCACATGGTTTCTCCGAAGTACCACGTTTTAGTGAGGTTTGTGATCACAGAGGGCACCAGACAGACAAGAATGACCAAAAAATCAGCCAGAGCCAAGTTGACGATGAACAAGTTGGTGACTGTCCTCATCCACTTCTCAGTGCACACGACGATGCAGACAAGGAGATTTCCTGGTGTCCACATCATTTCCATGTAAGTTACGACAGATTCAATTTTAAACATGCAAGTGTACGATGGTACTAAATATGATAACAGATGTAAGTGCAGAGCTCTATGCAAATAAAATTTGTGTATCCTTCCATTCAACCTCATTGATGTCTGTGCGTGTGCTTGTGTGAGGGGGTTTTTTCGTTTAATATAATATACCCGTGTACAATTATTTGAACAATCTATGGACTTTCTTTGGCACCAGCTGTTCAAACAAAACATCCCTCCCGGCACCGGAATATGTCCATGTTAATGCAATAAGTGTGAATGATTGTTCGACAGAATGTGTTACGTTTCGTAGATTTGATGGTTTTGTCAACATTAAGTAGTATCTTTGAACAAATAACTTACATCTGCTGTCCATTAACTGACCTGTTATGCCGACGATGAAGACGACGACGTAGAGAGCCACAAAAACCCATTCTAAAGCGTTAGGAGCCAAAACTTCTGAGAGAAAGTCTAAGTAGTCCTCTGGTTTGCAATGCAGTCAATTAGAAAGTTAACAATTTTCAATTGAATAGAGTCGGCTAAATTGAACAATATTTTTTGAAGCAAAAGCGAGAGGAGTTTTAACGGTATTATATTGACATTTACATTATTAAGTGTTACACAATTAACATAGTTATTAATTATAATCTACTCACATTAAATATAATTGTGTCCGCAATCTAAGAAATGGCCAGCCCATATCAATAGCAGCTCAAATAATAATAAACATTTGCACTTTGTCATGACAGCATGGAATTAGCATAGTAGGTGCTTATTATATTTCTGCGTTGAACTCCGGGAAACTATTTAGCAATGCTTATTATTTATTGCCCTGGACAATATTATTTTTTTAATATGACTAGCTTCAAGCTCGTTCAACTGCTCGTTGTGTATCAGATACTGCCAACATCTATTTGCGCCTAGAAGCACATTCATCACACCTACAGAATCATTGCTACCTACCTACCTACCTACCTGCCCCCCTCTGCAAACCCTCCTTGTTTTGGTTGTTAGGCATAAGTGTTCATTTGTTTGCTACGCTACTTAAAAGCTATCCAATGTCTTTTTTTTACTTAAAAATTTAGTTTTTGTTTATACCATTGCAAACCTGTTGCAAACAAAAAAAGTTTATTACAATTATTTTAACAATCGATAATTTTAAATTTTAAAAATTTAACGAGACCAAAATAATCAGACTGAATCGATGAGCAACGTGGAAATTTTATAATGTTTACTAAAATAAATAAAATTGGTTTTTGCTACTCGAATTTATTTTGTATGAAATTTCAATAATTATTTTTTGAATATTTTTAAAATTTAATATATCCAATAAAAAAAACTATTTAGGCCAAATTAAAAACAACAAACCCGAGTTCTCAAAGCATTCTATCGAATCCTGTCCCGATATGCAAAATGGTTTTAAAGTTTTGTTGATGTTGTTGTCATCGTAAAAGTTGTTGGCGGTGCCGTTGTTGTTGTTGCTGCCGTTGATGTTGTTGCTGCTGTGAATGAGATCAACAGCCGTGTAGTCGTTGTAAATGTTGTTGGCATGTTTCTCGGCGTTGTAGACATCATCAGCGAGGAACCGCAAAGTCTTATCAGTGGTACCCATGGTATCCATATTCACGCTCTTTGTCGTCAAAAACTTTTTGTGTTTTGTACTTTACTTCTATTCTATTGAAATATTTTTTATTCAAATGATTTGCAGAGCGTGAGTTAAACTTTCAGCCAAAAAATCATTAAGAGTCAGTAAATATCGGCATCCTTCGATTACTTATTCAGATTGTCATGACCTTTAACCTCTGGCTCCTTCCTACCCAGGGAATAGTCATTTTGAAAGGTTATTCATAGAAATTTGACCAATTTGACATAAATTCTGGATAATATTTTTACACTTTTGTTAAAAAATTTCATAAATCAGTCGTAGTAAAATTATATTTGAAAATAAAAAATTGAAAACTGAATGCATAAATTTAATTATCTGCCAATTCAACGTATTTGTCGGGTATCATCAGAAATAAATAGCTCAATGATAAAAATATGTAAGATCAATCATCTTGAAATGTAAAAATATGTTATATAAAATAATTTGATATAATATAATATGATATAATTTATAGTCATTTATGTATATATGTATAAACAAATTGAATACATCTATACAGACATGGTTTAAAAATTAAACCAGATCAAAAATCAAAAATTAAACCAGAAGCTTATCAAAACTGAAAATGCAGTGATATTTCTTAACAACTGTATCTGCGACAGCCTCAACCCTAATTTTAAATACGTATATATATGTGTGTGTGAGTGTGTGCTGTGTGAATTTGTGCTGTGTGAATGTGTGTGTTGTGTGTGTGTGTGTGGGTGGGTGGGTGTGTGCAGATGTTTGCGTTTGCTTATATGCCTGATGGTAATTGAGGGACTTAGACTCTCTCCCTCTTCCAGATGAATTCCCTGAATGATGAGTATGGAACGCTTAGTGACATTGTGATGCATGTGAGCCATTCTTTACCTGGCGACGTGACGCCAAAAAGCAGCAGCAGAAGCAGCAATTACTACTCCGCGACTACATACAGAACGCAATAATGCAGTCACCGTTAATTTTGTTTCGTATGATTTGTTTCTCTGTTATATCATTGTTTCATTGTTTGTTGTTCTTTTTGTTTTTTGTGATATTGTTATTTTTCCTTTTTTTTACCATTTTTCATTTTCGTTCTAACTTTCTTTATATTTTCATAAATCATTTTTATTGAATTTTTATAAGGTTAATTAATTTTTTAAAACATTTATCTTATTCCTCTTTCTATATATTTTCTTTCTTTTTTTTTCTTTTTATTTTCATCACGTGAAAATTCACACAAAGAACGTTGAAAGACCTTGGCTCAATGACCATCATGATAAAGACCAGATACATCGATAGTACAACAACAACAAACATGTCGTTATTATAATTATGAGTTATGAAGTTGTGAATGGTACGTCCGTGTACTAGCGTGCATCTGAAGACGAGGATGGTGATAATGAATATTACATCATAATGAGATACACAATAGTTATCGTCAGCCTAAAAAAGAAGATAGAAAATTTCATGCGGTTTTCTATTGAGAAGTTGATAAATGGCTCTTCCAGAGCATTATCGATCATTCATTCGCAATAAACAAAGCGCTTAATAAATGAGGGAATGAATGGGTTTGCAACAATGCAAGTCGAAAAAAAGAGATACACCCAGCATATCAGAAGAGTATAAAAATCAAATGAGAAATAATTTAAAGCGGTAAGAGAAAACTAATTATATGGAACAAATAAGACACCACACGTAAATGAAAACATCAATCAATCAAGAATATGAAACTTAGATTATCTTTTAATACAAAAATAAATTTCTGGAAAAAATAATGAATAATATTTTTCATAATTTAAAAAAAAATGATTTAATATGATTTGAACTTTGATAATATGATAAATATTAAAAACAATGTTAATATATCTGCAGAACAACTCACCTAGGAATTGGCAAACTGTTCATAGTTGGAAAAGTTATAAAATAACATCAATGAAATTGTAGCATCGTGAAAACTGTTACTATTTGAGTAATTTTGCACAACCAAAATTTGAACAGGAATAAGTGCACGTTTCAAACGAACAAATAATGGGACTAATTCAAAATAAACAAATTCACATTATTTAAACATTTCAATGAAAAATACTTCTACATAATATTGTTAAGGTTTGAATATGTTTTCACATCCGTTTGAACTTGTTTTCAATGACATATCTTTGATATTCAATTCAATTCAATTTCAATTCAATTCGTTTATTTTCTCAAAAGAGGGGTAAACTAAAAAAGCAACCAAATGCTTGTAAGAAAGTCACCCTATCCAAATAAAATCAACATTGATCAACAAAAATCAAAAATTAAAATAGTTCGACAAAAATCAAGGATTAAACTAGATCGAAATAAATCAAAAGTTATTGAACTGCAGATTCTATTCTATTAATCTTATGAAACAGAGATATAGTTCAAAATGAGTACATAAAATTAAAGTTTTGAATTTAGGATTCTATAGCATTTCAATAAATTAAATGATATGAAACCAAATATAGTTCAAAAGTAAGAGTACATACATATATACATACCTACATACGCACATACATACATACATACATGCATACATCCATACATTCATACATACATACATACATACATACATACATACATACATACATTCGTTTGTTCACATTCAAGGCCGGCTGGATTGTTTTAATTTCCTGATTATTTTTGCTAAATTCATAGATTTTAAATTGTTTTTATAGATGATTTTTGGGGTCATCGGCTGTAATTTTGTCCCGGGTTTGTTTTCCGTCATTTTTTATCGTT